ACCATGGTCTCTGTAGCCCCAGCTCCTGGGTCACAAGTCTCCACTTCCTGTGACATCGTGCTGAGGCTGCACCGTTGTCTGTACAGCCTTTTCCCTGCTTCTGCTTGTTTTCCCAGGATTAGGAAAACACCAGGTGTCTTACATAGCTAGGTTGTTGGTGGTGTTAATCTTGCCAGAACCTGCTGGGTATTAGGTCTGAGGGCCACATGGACCTATTTTGACCTGTACGATGCCGTAGTCAGTATTACTTTTCTGTGGGACCAGTGCAATGCAACGATTTTGGTGAGTTTGCCCCAAGCTCAGCACATGTGCAGCTCACTGTCCCCTGCAGTGCTTGCCACACTGTAAGAAATGGTGCCTGATGCGCCACTACTAGAGTTCTCGATCTGCTGGCCCTCAGGTCTGAGGGCTACTCAGACCTGTCTTGGGTAAAACCTGTAGCATGCTACATGTTGCAGTTCAATGAGCCAGAAATGAGGTCACTCCAAGTTTAGTGTATGCGCATTCCTGCCCCGCTAGCCCTTGCCTCCTTAAACGAAAGGGCGTCCGATATGGCTCTAGGTGGCAGACTGGGTTGGAAGTCCACCCTGTTCCTGCCCTGCCCACCTGGTGTCTGCTGCTCTGTCTCTGGTCCTGGTCAAAGTAAACAGACCAGCAGGACGGGCAATTCTTTGTCTGGGTTCATCTCCTTAGCTCCCCTGGTGAAAATCCCTTCCTACCTGGTTGCTGGTAGAGTTCTGGCTGCACTGCAGTTCAGGTCATGGCTTGCTGAATGCCGCTGGGGTATTGGTCACTGCAATACCACTCCATTGTTTTTGCTGCTTTCCTGTGTCTGTCAGTCTCCAGGTACCCCTCTGCTGTTGTTCTGTCCTCTCCTATTTCCTGGAATGTGCCCTCTTTGCTTCACTCAGGCTAATATTTCTGTCTGTTTAAACGTGTCCTTACCCTATTCTGACATCTTGATTCTCCAAGATTTATTAACTTTTATTGCAAAGTCAGATAGAGAGGAGTAGAGACAGAGAGGAAATTCTTCCATCTGAGTATTCCCTCCCCAAGTCTGGGGACACTCTTGAACGTGTGAGGGTACACACATGCACACACGTGTGTCTTCATGTATGGATTGTATGCATGTGTCCACATGCTGTGTAATGTGTGCGTGATACGTGTGTAATGCATATGGATGTGTGCTTGTGCTGGTATGCTGTTACTGTTCATTTACGTGTGTGATCTACATGTGTGTATATGTGGTGTGGTCTGTAATATGTGTTCGTAGATCTGTGGATACATATGGCACGTGGTATCTGTAGTGGGATGTGTGTGTTGGTGTGTGGTACATGAGGTATGGTAAATGGGTATGTGTGTATGCCTGTTTGCATGTGAATGGCCACATGCTGGTCCAAAGCAACTCTGTTGGAATATGATGCTGTTTTCTCCATCTGTTGGAGAAGTCACTTGCTGGCACATGCCTAATGTGATGGAAACACTGCGTCTTAGTGCATGGTGCAGGTGAGAGCAGCCTCGGTGTGTGCGATGCCATTGTCCTCGTGCACCTGGCTGGGGTGCAGGGCTCTCTGCTCGCCTCCAAGCCAGCGGGCAGGCTGCATGCTTCCAGGGCCTTTGGAGTAGCAGTCTTGGTAATTGTCACTAGTAAGTAGCCTTTTCTGATCAAGACTGGAATTTTTTTAAAAAAGATTTATTTACTTGAAAAGCAGAGTGAGAGAGACACAGGGACAGAGAGAGATGGTCTTTCAGATGTCAGTTCGCTCCCCAAAATGCCCACAGCAGCCCGGGCTGGCCCAGACCCGCAGCTCATTGACCTGGGAGCATCATCTGCTTCCATCACCGGGCAACGGGACTTGAACTGGCTCTGCAGTGTGGGGTGCCTGCTCCCCAGTGGTGACTTAACCCTGTGCCATGGTGCTGGCCTCTGGAATGTTAAACACTTCAGTGTGTTTGATGTGTAATTTACAGTGGATGAATTTACCAATACAGTGTGTTATTGCATGAGTGGATGAATTTGCTTATAATTTATATATTTTATAAGCAGTGCTTATAATTTATATTTTAATCAGGAAGCTATACTTTGCTCCTGTCACACTATTTAATCAACACGCCATTCCTGGTGTCCTCAAGGCCTTTCAAAGTTGCCTTTTTTTTTTTTTTAAGAAAATAAGAACTCTGTCAGCAAGCCTCCACATAGAAGTAAAATATATCCACACGTTTTTTTCTCCTATGATCTTCTCATGTGTGCAACCAGGTGGTGAGAAGGTACATCCTGGGTTCAGTGGTGGACAGTGAGAAGAACTACGTGGATGCTCTGAAGAGGATATTGGAGGTACATAAATGTTTGTGTGGCCACACGCACACTCACAGTGTCCCCAAAGCTTGGAGCTGGATGTTGGGAGCCCTGGGGTCTGCTCTGCACCCAGGTGTGACTTTCATGGGCGGGGCGTGCTTGTCTTCATGGCAGCAGTATGAGAGGCCGCTGTCCGAGATGGAGCCACGGCTGCTGAGTGACCGGAAGCTGAGGACAGTGTTCCACCGTGTCAAGGAGATCCTGCAGTGCCACTCCATGTTCCAGATCGCGCTGGCTAGCCGTGTGTCCGAGTGGGACGCCGTGGAGATGATTGGTGACGTCTTTGTGGCCTCGGTAATGGAACAGGCACTGCCTGGCACCTGCAGGCCTCTTCCACCTTCTCGGCCTACATGTCACTTATGTCTACTGCTGCCCTAAACACCGGTGGGCCCGCAGGAAGGCGTTTTCTCCTGAGGCTGTGCCACGGGTGTCCCTGGACCTGGTGGAAGCTTAACACAGGCTGGGGGGAGAGAGGCAGCTGGTGGATTGAAAGCTATCACTTCCTCCAGCTGCGGTGTGTCACTGTGTCCCCTGTGCCTGCAACATAGACTTCTCACTGCTATGAGAACGCTCACCATGACCACGTCCAAGGCCTCTCTCTGGGTCCTGTCTCCCTGAGCCGGTCTCACCATCTGGGGGCAGGAGTCTCAGTGCCAAGCAGGAAGAGCTCTAGAAGATTCCTCTTGGATCTAGATCTTTCTCTAGGACCATAGTGCATGTAGGCGGAAGCCACAGTAACCTGCCTGGAAGCCGTGTGCTCCGACTCTCTTGATGTGTGGTTTTAGATCTCACAGGCTGCTGTGGACAGGGCAGGCGGCAGAGTGACTGCTGAATGCCTGCACAGTGCCTTCCGCTTACAGAGGAGACACGGCCTGCACATTGATTTTGCTGTTGCAGTTCAGTCTCAGCCTTATCCTTCTGCTGTAAATGTTAGCCTCGGACAGTGTTTTCTAGAGTGCAACAGGCCTTGTTAGCCTGCCTGTGACCGTGTCTCAGCCGTGGCCTCAGGCAGCCGAGCTGTCCCAGAGAGGGGCCATGGGAAGCGTTCTCTCTCTGAAAGCTGACTTCAAGGGCAGGTGTTTCCTGCTCTCCAAACCTCCATGTTTTTAAGAAGACAACGCCCACACACCCAGAGGGGCAGGGTGAGTCTCTCTCCTGCTCCAGGGTCATATCCAGGGAATAGTGACCACAGCATGATCCCACAAAGCAAGCTTGTCCCCAGCTGCTGAACCCCAGCAGCTGTGCAGATGTCCCTGACTGCTGAACCCCAATAGGCCATGACCGTTGAACCCCAGCAGGCTGTGCAGGTGTTCGGCTAAATGTGTTGTCTTCTCCTTTTGGTGAACAAAACCCAGATTTCCACATATAGCAAGTTTTTTTTTTTTTAAGATGTATTTATTGATTTGCAAGTCAGAGGAAAGACAGATTTTAAATGCGCTGCTTCACTCCCCAAATGGCTACAGCAGACTGGCTGGGCCAGGCCAGGTCAAATCCAGGAGCTGGGAGCCTCTTTTGGTCTCCCATGTGTGTGCAGGGAGACCCAAGCATTTGGGCCACCCTCTGCTGTTTTCCCAGGCCACCAGCAGGGAGCTGCATGCGCTGTTAGTACAGGTTTCAGATCCTCCACACTCTGACACAGGGATGCCAACCACTATGCTGTTTCTCTTGCCCCTCCCACGCCCTAGTTTTCCAAGTCCATGGTGCTGGACGCCTACAGTGAGTATGTGAACAACTTCAGCACTGCAGTTGCCATTCTGAAGAAGACATGTGCCACCAAGCCCGCCTTCCTCGAGTTCTTGAAGGTGAGTGCTCTGAGTCCTTCCTGGGTGTCTGTCCTCATTGTGCTGATGCCCTGTATGGACTGGTGTCCTCCCCAGCTGGATCCTCCTTGGTGTACTCCCTGGGTGGCATCCTCCCTGGGTGGTGTCCTCCCCAGGTGTTGTCCTCCCTGGGCCGGTGCCCTTCCTGGACAGTGTATTCCCTGGGCCAGTGTCCTCCCCAGGACCAAAGTAAGGTTGCTTTTCTGCTGAGAGCATTGTGGGGAACTGGCTGAGTCTGCTGGCTCAGGCTTCAGCCCCCAGTTTCAGAGGAGGATGATGTGGCAGGCATCTGAGGAGCTGGCTGCCAAGCTCTGCCACTCTCTCTCCCGAAGGTGGCTGGAGATGCCCCAGGACTTTGCAGGGTTGGGGTGACCCTTCCGTTGCTGCAGCGGACTCTCCTGGGGGCAGACATGGCCCAGGGAGCTGTGCATACAGAGCCAGAGCCGAACCCCTGGGAGGGCGTGGGAGCTGCCACAGGGCAGCAGTGAACCACTGGGAGGGCATGGGAGCTGCCACAGGGCAGCAGTGAACCCCTGGGAGGGGGTGGGAGCTGCCACAGGGCAGCAGGGACAGCTGGCATGAGCTTGCCTCTCCTAAGTAGGTGGGAAAGATTTAGTAGTGAATTTTGAGGAAGCCAACCAGGGAGGGTCTGGGGTGGCTCTGTGGGGGCTGAGGTCTTGAGGTCGCCGTGTAACCGCTTGCTGTACCTACAGCAGAGCCAGGAGTCGGGTCCCGACCGCGTCACGCTCTATAGCTTGATGATGAAACCCATCCAGAGGTTCCCACAGTTCATCCTCCTGCTGCAGGTGAGCAGGTCACTGCCTTCTTCCTGAACAGGTGAGCAGGAGGCCGCTGCCCTCCTCCTGCTGCAGGTGAGCAGGAGGCCGCCCTCCTCCTGCTGCAGGTGAGCAGGTCACTGCCTTCTTCCTGAACAGGTGAGCAGGAGGCTGCCGCCCTCCTCCTGCTGCAGGTGAGCAGGTTGCTGCCCTCCTCCTGCTGCAGGTGAGCAGGCCGCTGCCCTCCTGCTGCAGGTGAGCAGGTCACTGCCCTCCTCCTGCTGCAGGTGAGCAGGCTGCTGCCCTCTTCCAGGCAGCCATCTTCTTGTGGGTTCCAAGTGAGCGACTGCATTCTGGCTCTACAACTGGCTGTCCTGTGTCCTCAAGTTTGTTAGCAAAGTATTTTTCTGGCTGTAGTCCTCATCTTCTTTCATGGTCTTGGGGGCCCAAGAGGGGCTGGCAGGAACCCTGAGGAGGCCTCACTTTGTGGAGGAGGCAGGGATGGACCCCTGTCCTTATGAGGGCATGGGCCCCACTTGGAGGCTGTCCTGGGTGTTTGGCTGGGTCCCCTGTGGGCCAGCTGTCACTTGGATTCCAGGCACCTGGGCACCTGTGCCTGCGCTACAGCCAAGTGGAGTGAGGGTTGCTGTGTGTTCCATGGGGCACTGCCTCACTGCTGGCGTTAGGGACACCAGCTGCAGCAGGTGTGCATGGCCAGGTGGGAGGTTGCTCCCTCCCTCAGTGCAATGCACCCTCTCTGCAGACCTCCCCGCACCCTCTCCATGTCCAGAGATAACACTTGTTGGATGGGGGTCGAGTGAGGCTTTGGGATGGAATGGATGAAGTGCAGTGCGCCTGGCCCTCCTTGTTGAAGCTTTTGTCTGATTGTTTGTAGCTGGCTTAGTCTGGGAAACAGCCAAAGTTTGCAAGAGTGGAGCCCCAGTTTGTGAGAAGAGCAGATACGCCAGAGTAGCCTCACGGGCTGATGGCTTGCGGGGTGTCTTCCAGGTGGTTGCCCCCTTGCCTCCTTGTTTCTTCTCCCGTGGCCTAGGTAGATCTGTGTGAGGGTGTGAGCAGTGCTTCTGAGCCTGGGCTTGTGCATACCTCACTGGCCATCCCTGTGGGGGCTCTGACGGTGGCTGGGTGCTGCAGCTCCTCAGGCTGGGTCGGATACAGAAGAGACCCCCACCCAGCATGCGTGCAAGATAGACCTCAAGGTGTCAGAAATGAATTCCTTCTTGTTTCTCTACTTTAAAAAAATGACATAAGTACTTAAATGACCGAGAAATTGATTTTTATTTGAAAAGTCATCATCTCCTTTAGGGGCGAGCAACAGAGTTAGAATGAGTGACTGAGAGCTCCTGTCCACTGGCTCACTCCCCAGATGCCCATGGCAGCCAGGGCTGGCCAGGCTGAAGCCAGAACATCTTCCTGACCTCCCTCCAGGGTGGCGGTGGGGCTGATGCTTGGGCCATCATCTGCGGCCACTGGAGGCTGACAGAGAGAAACCAGAAGCCAGGCACATATGGGCAGTGAGTGTCCCTAGCTGTGCCTTCTTGTCCGTCACCACAGCACCCTCCCCGGGGATCTCAGACCCAGGTGGCGCTTCCACAGTCTCGGGAGGCACCTGCACTGTGAAGCACATAGCTCCCCTCCTGGACTGTGCCCAGAATATTCCCCTCCGCAGGCCTGCCTGACTCCCCGAAACATCCCCCATTGGGTGTGTGGGGTCTTTGCGGGGCTTGGTTGGAAACAAATCGTTGGCCCCAGCCAGCCTGTTTGTTGTTCTCCCAGTGGCTGGTGAACCCATGGCCTGTGGACTCGGGGTGGTTTGAGGGGAGTAAGAGGGGCCTCATAGGGGGAAGAAACACAGCCAGAGGCAGATAGGGTCTGGAGTGATGTCATGGTGGTGCCAGGACTTGCTCTCCATGGGGTTTGGGGTGTGGGATAGGGGGTGGATTCGTAGTGCTGCGCTCCTTCCTTGCCCCTTGTGGTGCCCCATGGGCTGGGCCACTGGACCCCCTCCCGTGGTGCTGAGCTCACACCCTCCCTACACCCACTGTGCCCACTGTAGTGCCCTGTGGGCTGGGCCACTGGACCCGCTCCCGTGGTGCTGAGCTGACACCCTCCTATACCCACCGTGCCCACTGCAGTGTCCCGTGGGCTGGGCCACTGGACCCCCTCCCGTGGTGCTGAGCTCGCACCCTCCCTGCACCTGCTGTGCCCACTGCAGTGCCCCATGGGCTGGGCCCCCAGACTCCCTCCCCAGTGCCTTTCTGCCTCCCAGTCTGCTCCGTAACTGCTCTGAGGCTGGCTTAGGCTCTGCTATCCTGGTTGTACTTAGGAAACATCCTGATAGCTCCCACAAGGGGGAGATTTTGTTTTTCCCACGAGCCATGCCCTGCCTTGCCCTGTCCTGTTCCCTGCCCTGTCTGTGCCCCCATGGTTCTGCTCTTATCTGTGCTATTGTGGCAATGCCAGTGTCTGCTGTTGGTGCTGGGATTAGTCCTAGGATTTAAAAAAATGTATCTCGATAGTTTTTTCAAAGCAACTTTATTTTATTTATGTGGGAGGCAGAGTTACAGTGAAGGAGAGGGAGATCCTCTCTGCACTGGTTCACTCTCCAGAAGGCTGTATGTATAGCGGGGTTTGGGGCAGGCCAGAAACAGGACCAGGGGCTTCTTCCAGGCCTCCCCCAGCATGCAGGGGCCCAAGGACTTGGGGCCATCCTCTGTTGCTGTCTCAGTTCTTTAGCACGTTCAGAAGTGGGGCTTCCAGGATACAAGCTGGTGCCTGTATGGGCTGACAGTGTCACGGAGAGTACTTGTAAGGGGTGACGGTGTTATAGGGAGTACCTATATGGGGTGACAGTGTTACAGGGATGCCTGTATGGGGTGACGGTGTCACAGGGAGTGCCTGAAAGGGATGACAGTGTCATGGGGAGTGCCTATAAGGGATGAGGTGTCACAGGAAGTACCTATATGGGGTGATGATGTCACAGGGAGTGCCTGTAAGGGCTGACAGTGTCACAGGAAGTGCCTGTAAGGGCTGACAGTGTCACAGGGAGTGCCTATAAGAGGTGAGGTGTCACAGGGGGTGGCTATAAGGGGTGACGGTGTCCTGGGAGGTGCTTGTAAGGAGTGACAGTGTCACAGAGAGTACCTATATGGAGTGACAGTGTCATAGGGAATGCCTGGAAGGGGTGACTGTCACAGGGAGTACCTATATGGGGTGACAGTGTTGTGGGGAGTGCCTGTAAGGGGTGGGATGTCAGGGAGTACCTGGAAAAGGTGACAGTCCCACAGGTGCTGGCTTAGCCCACTGTGCTAGCCCACAGACTGTCTTCCTATAATTTGTTTCATCTGGAATACATGTGTGGAACAGCGTGTCATTCGTCCAGACTGGAAAAGTCAAACCCACTTTGCATCCTCCTTGTTGAATTGAAAGTCTGTGTACTTTCGTTCATCGCATTTCATGCTCAGTGAAAACTAGGGTGCCTCAAGTCCATGTGTGCCTCTCAGCTGGCCTCAGTTTGTCCTGCGTGATAGTAGGTCAGAAGGCATCAAGGGCGCAAATGTAGCTGCTTTCCTTGAGGTGTGTTAGAGTGCAATGCACCCTGCAGCATTTGTGGGCATAGCCAGGGCTGCGGCCGTGGCTGTGACCCTGACTGTGGCTATGACCCTGACTGACCCTAGCTGTGGCCGTGACTCTGATCCTAGCCATGGCCATGACACCAACCCTAGCTGTGGCTGTGACGCCGACCATAGCCGTACCATGCCCCTGACCATAGCCATGGCTGTGACGCCGACCCTAGCTGTGCTGTGACCCTAACCCTGACCCTGACTCTAGCCATGGCCGTGACCCTGGCTGTGGCCATGACCCTGACCCAAGCCGTGGCTGTGACCCTGACCCCTGACCCTAGTTGTGGCTGTGATACTGGTCATGGCCGTGACCCTGACCTTTGGGGGCAGCATGGATTGCTGACCACCTCCCTCGCCCTGCTGCCGACAGGACATGCTGAAGAACACAGCCAAGGGCCACCCCGACCGGCTGCCCTTACAGATGGCACTGACAGAGCTGGAGACCCTGGCCGAGAAGCTGAACGAGAGGAAACGAGATGCTGACCAGCGCTGTGAGATGAAGCAGATGGCCAAAGCCATCAATGAGCGATACCTGAACAAGGTCCAGCCTGGCACCCACAACTTTACACTGACACCCCTCTCACAAGCCCATTGGGACATTTGGGGGGCTTCTGGATGCAAAGTTCCTGGTGGGAGGTGGTGGGCAGTGCAGACAGAGGCTGAGGGTGATTGCAGACTCTGGAAGGGGGTCAGAAACACTCTCGGGCCCCACATAGCTTAGGACCTCCCCGAGGACAAGAGCAGCCGCCCTCACAGCTCAGCTTTTCTTCCAGTCATGGTGGTGAGGAAAGCCGGAAGCATCTGCAGACATGCTGTCTGCATTCTCCAGCACTGGGCTAAGTGGCAGAGCACTTTGTGAGTGAGGCTGGACCTCAGCTTCAGGCCACAGAGCTGTCTTCCTGTAGCCGGATGTGGGAGTAAGTGGACTTAAAGCAGACCCAGCCAAGGCCCATGTGGAACGTTCGTGCATAGGAGCTGTGAGAAATAAGTCACAGCAAATATTGGCTGTGGCTCTTTCCCACCTGCCACTGGCCAGGGTCAGGGGATGGTTGAGGACTCTGACAGTCACACCAAGCAGTAGGTTCTCCCTCCTGCTGTGGACGATGTAGTGAGGATGTCCTAGGCCTGAGGGAGCTATCAGTGAGATGCCTGGCACTACTCTACACTAGGGCCATGTGTCCTTGTGGCTCTCAAGGGTTTGAATCAAGGCTATGGGGCTGAGGAGGAGGTTCTGGGCGTGGGATGACAGCCAGACATGGCATGGCATGCTCAGGGCCTGGCGGCTGCTGTGAACAGAAAACTAGGCTGGCAGCCCTGGCACAGGTACAGGGCAGACCTCTGTGGGCAGGACTCCCAGCCTCCTACTGGAGGCCCCTGAGGGGTGTCCGTGCTGTGGAGTTCCAGCGCACCCCAGGGTGCTCAGGTGTTTCCCACATTTCCTTGGGAAACATCAGTCGCAAAGTGATTGCTGTACCTGCAGCTGTTCACAGCTGGTGTGAGGTTGTAAACGGTGTAGCGACTGACTGATTCCTCTGACAGGGAGGGAGAAAGAGATCTGGTTTGGGTCAGGTAGAAGCCTGGAGCTGGAATCGAGCACCTAGACTGTCCTCTTCTGCTTTTCCCAGGCCATGAGCAGGGAGCTGGCTCATGACCCGGTGTCTGTGTGCGGTGCTGACCTCACATGTGGCAGCTGCATCTGCACTGCCACTGTGCTGGCCTGTGCCGCGGGTTAGACCCAAGCTGTGTTCTGAAGCCATGAGAGGTGA